GCGTTCATGTGGAGGATGCCGGGCCCGTTGCAACCGTACCAATTGCAACGGGATCCAGAACCCACCACTGCTTTGACTATAGGAAGAATTAAACACTTAAAGAGTCATTATAACTAATCCACAATAGATTTTGTTCTGTTTTTACTTACGTTGCCTAAATTTTCACCTTTTTTTGAAGAATAAAATATATATGGCATATATGATGCAGACTGCTTTGGCTTTATTTTTTTTCCTCTTCATTTCAGAGTTGTTGCTTTATCTATGTCTCCAGTGGATGATACCTTTATATCTGGCTCACTTGATAAGACTATCAGACTTTGGGATCTTCGGTCACCAAATTGTCAGGTAAACTTCTAAAGTCCACATGAAATATGTTAATGTATTTCAAATATTGTGTAGGTTTATAGACTTTATTTCCAGTGTAGTAGTAGATATGAACAATGCACACACATACACAGAACCTCAAGCCTAAGCCTGGCATGTTAAAAAGTACATTTAGTCTTAGGTGATTCTTAAGAAAAATAAACAGTTTTGAATAATAATAGTAATAACAAAAATTAAAAGGATTCAAACCAATGGCCAAAGTAAAGTACAATAAGTAACAATGGCTAGAGGAAAAAGGGAGGGGCTACCAAAATATCAATTGATCTATTCCTTTTAATTGTTTTTTGAAATTTTGTTGACTAAGCATATGTGTATTTATGTTTGTACTTTTGAATTTTTTTGCCTGAATTTTTTAATAACCTAATAAAAAAGCCCAAACATTTCAGTACATTTCTAGATCACATCATTTTCAAGAAAAAGCCGTATTTCAGAAATGATTGTTTTGCATTTCTGTTAGAGATGCTATCACTTTATTTAAATAGATCTTTGTATTTTGATAAAAAGCAGTTGAATATATTAACTCAGCCTGAGATTTACTTTAATTGCATGGGTGTTGACTTTTTAATAGTGAAAATGAACACGTAAGCAAAAGACTTCTTTTTCAACATTGGAAATACAAACATATGGCTCTAACTATTTTAATAGTTTGGAGGATTAATATAGATCCACCATGGATGCTTCTAACAAATCATGACTTTAATTAATCATTGTTATTATTTAAATTTGCACCATGCCCAACTCCCAATGATTCTGGGCAGCCCACAAGTACAACTATTCAAAACACAAAATGCAGTCAAGAGACAAGAATAAAAGATGACAAGGATGACAAGCACCCAACAGAAATGAAAGTGACACAGACCTATACAACTCAAAGACTCAGATATACAGCACAGTCTTCAAATTCCTTTGAAGCACCAATAGGTGGGATCAGATTTTAGAGGGAAACTCATTCCAGAGGACATGTGCTGCAGCAGAGAAATGCTGCTCCCAGAGTCCCAGTAGCTCATTGCTTAATAGTCAATGGAACCTGGAGATTGAATAAGCCAAGTAAATAACTATGGAAGACAGACAATCCCTGAAGTAATTTGGCCCAACACCAAAAAGGGCTTTATAGATCAGTGCCTTGAAGCAAACAGGCAACTAGTGCAGCTACAAAGGTATGTGTATGCGTGTGTTGTGTATGTGTGTGTTACCACATTTATAGAGCTGCTTATCTTACATTGAATTCCGGATGGCTATATATGTATGTATATGTATTCAACCTCTAGGGTCTGATGCATCCACAAGGAAAACCTGTATGCTCATTTGATCCAGAGGGGCTGATTTTTGCAGCTGGGGTGAATTCTGAAATGGTGAAACTTTATGATCTTCGCTCCTTTGATAAGGTAAGTAGTATGTAATGTTTAAGTGCATCCTAAATATGGCATTTTTTTTTTTAGATGAAATTCCTAGGATCGTAGAGTTAATATTCAAACATATAAAAGCAAAACATTAAACTCGGGATTTCTGGGAATTGAAGTATAAATAATTTTCAGTTATACTTGGCAAGTTTTGTGGCCTAAGAAAATGAAATTCCTTCCCAAGTCAGACACGGTCTGCCTGGTAAGGTATTTTTTGAAAAATGATCTGAACATGTGGAATAGTTTTGCTCCATGCCAACACCTGTCTTTCTTTTTTGAAGGGTCCATTTGCTACCTTTAAGATGCAATATGACCGAACCTGTGAGTGGACTGGCCTGAAGTTCAGCAATGATGGAAAACTTGTTCTTCTTTCAACTAATGGAGGAATCATACGGCTCATTGATGCCTTTAAAGGAGCAGTTCTTCATACATTTACAGTGAGGGACATTTCTATATCTCCACATAGGGTCTTCGTTTTGGATGTTCTTTAGAATTAAGACAAGATTTATGGAATATTGAGTTAGCATTGCAGTATAAGACACTTTTATTGCTGAAAATAAGGACATTTAATTCATCAGGTTATTTTTGCTGACCCCTTTTTATTAAGTGAAAATTGAGGTTTGATGGTGCATCCCATATGTAAAACTGAGCCATTAAGCTGGAATATCTGAGAGTAACTTCTTAACTGAAAGAGATCTACTGGAATAAAGAGTTGAAAAGATAACTGATAAAGGAAAAAGCACTTTATAAAATCACACTTTAGATTATGACTTAGCATCCTCTTATACTCTATTCAATCCATGGAGTTAAAAAATATATTATTCTAAATTTCACAATCATTCATAGCTACAAGTATACTCATTAATCATGACAAGAAGAAAAATCTCCTGTTCTGTGGTCCATTCTGGATTTTTAAATAGTCCAGAGATGGTAATAATTTTTCAGCTCTTTGATTTTTATATTTTTCTGGGGAAAATTATAGATGGTGTCCTTGTAATGCTATTCAGATTTTTTCCATCAATAAAGGCTTAATTTGAGAGATAATTTGGCATAGTAGTTAAGGCACTTGGCCTGAAACCAATAGAATATGAGTTCTAGGCCTCCCTTACACATGAAAGCCAGCTGTATGACTTTGCACCAGTCATTGTCTCTCCCATCCAGCCAACCTCAAATGACTGTTGTTGTGGGGGGAAAAGGAGGCAAGAGTATTATGAACGCTTGCTGCCTTCAGTTGATCAATACAGAAAAATGGGCAGTATAAAATGGTGGTGATGACCTCCTGAGTGATGCCTTTTTCATTCTGTTGTCAGCTGTAACCTCTTACACAAAGTTTCCATAGAGCCAGATCTTTCCAAGACTAATTGTAAATTTAGATTAACGGATAGCAATTGATTTTAAATAAATGTGTTTGATATTGTATAACTCCTTTTGAAGGAGATGGACAGTTAAGAAATATTTTGTGACTATTTTGTCCTAAGGCTGTTGAAGAATTAAATCTTCTAAAATAGGATAACCTTGTTATAGCATGGTTGCGTGTAGTATTTTAAGGAAAAGTTTGATTGATGAGCTCCATTATTGAATGAGAGCGTGGTTTTCTCCTTCACTGATGGTGAGCGTTTTCCTTGGAGTAAACCTTTTTAAAAGCTTTCAGCAGACTTTTTATCTGCTTCTCTCCTGAAATGGCAAGGACAATGGTTGGAAGGGGCTTGGGCACGTTGACATTGCAAACCATTTTTTGCTTGAATTACCTTAACTTTTCTGTTACAGTTTATGGTCACACTGTTTTATGTTATTGTTGTTCAGACGCTAAATTGTG